CGATTTGGCCTAAACCACGACATCTGTTACAGCACAAGGATAACTTTAAAACCAGGAGACAACACTCAGTTCTAGTTTAAGCATCTTCCTTGAGAAAATATTATAAAAAGCCATGACTAAAGTCAGTGGATCTTAGTAAAACTTTATAGCAAGATATTTAGGTTATTTTCAATTTTACCTCAACATACATCCGCTGCCAAGCTTCCAGAATTGCTGCTGCCTTATCCTCACTCCAGTTGATATGTGAAACATATTCATACCCCTTGAAGTGCTCATACATTTGCTTAGGAGTCATTAACTGAAACATGGTTTGCAAAGCTTGGGCACTGTAACAGGGAGAGAAGAGAGAGGAGAAAGAGGCATAAAGAAGCATTTTGAGGAAATGATTTTTCACTGCATAAAGGCTCAAATTAGAGCCTAATAGGAACTTGCACAAGTTCTTGATTTTATAGGCCACATGTTGACATTAAAATTGAACAGAGTATAATTATTCTACTATGTATCTGGTGCAGCTGTACTGGTCTATACAGTATTGAAGCTAAGTCTGTTTTCACTGAAGTTAGTGAGAGTTTTGCCATTATTTTCAATAAGATCAGTTTCAGGAGCAAAGAATGTAACCCTACAAATCAGTTATAAAGATCATGACTGACAGACAGATTGCTATGAGGAGGTGTCCTGGTTTCAATTGGGAAAGAATTAATTTTCTTTCTAGTGATTGCTGTGACAGGAATATCAATAATGCATATTGTTTTAGTTGTTCCTAGATGATGTTTATACTTTTCAAGAACTCTTTTTAGCTTCCCATAGGAGCTTAGAAGGAGCATAGATGGAATGGCCAACAGAATATGGAATAATGGCCAATGGAATATTCTGTACCATAGACATCATTCTCAGTATACAAATGGGGGTTGGCCGGGGGGGAAAATCTGTGATCACTGCTTGGGAAGGTACCAATTCACAGGGTGGTGAGAATTACTTGTGTCATTATTATTATTATCCATTATTGTTCTATTAAACTGTTTTTATCTCAACCCATGAGGGTTTTTTTCCTTTCCCTTTCCTCTCCTACAGAAATTATCTGTATTAAATATGCAAGAATTATACTTTAGTTTAATATAAATTTGGATTCAGTGTATACATCTAAATAATGTTTTTATATGTCCTATTTTTAACACAGTTCTATTTCAAGGGGTTTTTCCCCCAAAGTCCAGTATTCCATGACTTCTTCAAGAAGACTGAAACGAAGGGTTTTTTGTCAGTCAAAAAAGTATTCAAGATACAGTGACATAAAGAATATACTTTTCTCTGTATTGACCCTAAACAAACAGTTCAATGGAGATTTTGGAATTCTGAGAAAAGTCCAGTGAGTGGGCACATTACCAAAGTTATTTCCCCCCCTTTTTTCCTTTGATCACATTTCAAAAACACAATCAAAGTTTTCAGTGTTTTAAATACTGTTCAATGTTTATACATAGACTCTAAACAATAAAGTTGCCAGGAAAACAATTATTTCTGAGCAACATACACTATCATTCTTAGGTTAGAAGAAGGCATCAATGACACCTCCTTAAATTTAAACAACTGTTTAATCACTCTTTTAAATTCTGTCCTCATCAGGGATGTCCTCCTAGACCAGGGTTCACGATACACATCATTCACAGATTCTAAAAGGCAGTTGATTTTGCATGGTCTGCCCCCCTGCCAAAAAAACCCCAAACCCTGACAAAGAAAAAAAATCATATTTTCTGTAAACACTTGTTTGCTTACCTGACAAGTTTACCAGAACTATTCTTGACTGTACCACCTATAATCAATTCCTCCTGCCAATGCATGTATTTTCTTGACAGTCCATAGCATCCACCACTCAAAACAATAGCCACATCAAGAGGCTAGAAAAAAGAAGCAATTAATTAGTTGCACAACTTCAGACAAACTCATATCCTAAATCAACACCTAGTGTACTGAAATAACAGATATTGAAAATCATCTAGTAAGTCTACAAATGGAGTAGACAAACTAGCCCAATACTTGTTCACCAGACAGCAACTTCTCCAAAGGCTAATGCAACTGAGAAAGGGATATATAAAGTTAGGTCAACAAAACTAAACAAACTGGAGGATAGCCAATGTCACTCCAGTCTTCAAAAAGGGCAGGAAGGATGACCCGGGAAACTACAGGCCGGTCAGCCTCACCTCCATCCCTGGGAAGATGATGGAGCAGCTTGTTCTGGGAGTCATCTCAAAGCACCTGGATGAAAAGAAGATTATCAGAAGTAGTCAACATGGATTCACCAAGGGGAAGTCATGTCTGACTAATCTGATAGCCTTCTATGACAAAGTAACTAGATGGGTGGATGAGGGGAGGGCAGTGGATGTTGTCTACCTTGACTTTGGCAAGGCTTTCGACACTGTCTCCCACATCATCCTCACAGGAAAGCTTAGGAAGTGTGGCTTAGATGAATGGACAGTGAGGTGGATTGAGAACTGGCTTACAGATAGAGCTCAGAGGGTTGTGGTTAGTGGCGCAGAGTCTAGTTGGAGGTTAGTAACAAGTGGTGTCCCTCAGGGGTCAGTACTGGGCCCAGTTTTGTTCAACATATTCATCAATGATCTGGATGAAGGGATAGAGTGTACCATCAGCAAGTTTGCTGATGACACAAAACTGGGAGGAGTGGCTGACACGCCAGAAGGCTGTGCTGCCTTACAGCGTGACCTCGCCAGGCTGGAGAGTTGGGCAGAAAGAAACCTTATGAAGTTCAACAAGGGTAAGTGTAGGGTACTGCACCTGGGGAGGAATAACCCCATGCACCAGTACAGGTTGGGGGCTGACCTCCTGGAGAGCAGCTCTGTGGAGAGGGACCTGGGAGTCCTGGTGGACAACAGGATGACCATGAGCCAGCAATGTGCCCTGGCGGCCAAGAAGGCGAATGGCATCCTGGGGTGCATCAAGAAGAGTGTGGCCAGCAGGTCGAGGGAGGTCATCCTCCCCCTCTACTCTGCCCTGGTGAGACCGCATCTGGAGTACTGTGTCCAGTTCTGGGCTCCCCAGTTCAAGAAAGACAGGGAACTGCTGGAGAGGGTCCAGCAAAGGGCAACAAAGATGATTAGGGGACTGGAGCACCTTTCTTATGAGGAAAGGCTGAGGGACTTGGGTCTCTTTAGTCTAGAGAAAAGAAGATTGAGGGGGGATCTTATTAATACATACAAATACTTAATGGGAGGATGCCAGGGGGATGGGAGTAGTCTTTTTTCAGTGGCACCCAGTGATAGGACGAGGGGTAATGGGCATAAACTTGAACATAGGAAGTTCCATCTTAACATGAGAAGGAACTTCTTTACTTTGAGGGTAGTGGAGCACTGGAACAGGCTGCCCAGAGAGGTGGTGGAGTCTCCCACTCTGGAGACATTCAAAACCCGCCTGGACGCTGTCCTGTGTAACGTGCTGTAGGTGACCCTGCTCTGGCAGGAGGGTTGGACTAGATGATCTCCAGAGGTCCCTTCCAACCCTAACAATTCTGTGAATTCTGTGAATTCTGTGAATTCTGTGAAACTGGCCCTACTTGAAGGAAGACCTTGCTGCAGTGTCTGTGTACAGCACCGGCCGTATTCCAGGAGTGACTGTGTCTGCCTGAGGCATGTTGCCTGCTGAAATGGTGTGTCACCACATTGCCACACCCAGCCAGTAGCTGAGAACTGTAATCTCACTCTAAATATGCATGACTAATATTGCATCACAGGCTGAGGGAAAGTTACTGATTCTGGGCCAATGGTATATAACAGGAACCGAATAATGAAATTCCTGAAGAACATAAAATATATATTACTTGGAAGGGAGTGGTACTCTTTTCTCTTACCACACATATAGAGACTCCCTTTTCAGATCTACACAAAGATAAGCAAACTTACTTTGGTGGAATTTTTATTGGGAGCTGTGATTGGGCAATCAGGATCAGCAGGATTCAGACAAGGTCGATCCATATAACCATGACCAACCTCTGCTTTATTCAGCATTTCTTCCCAGCTCTCCACTTGGTAGTTTATTTTCTTTAACTCTTCTAAGAATTCTAAGGGGTCAAAGTTGATCCACTGCAAAGGAGGTTTCCCTCTGTAAAAGAAATCAGGGAAAAAGGACAAAAAAAAAAGACAAAATAAGTACCGAATCATAATTTTTTAATTTGTATTTCCACAAATGATGAAGTTGTTTTTTGTTACAAGATATAACCCTTTTTGGTAAGGTTGTTTCATAAAATGAAATGCATGTTTTAATTATATTTGTTTATGTATACTTTTCTTGTAGCCCTGTGGTGATTTTAACAAAAATAGTCAGTACTTACATACCAATTTACTATATGAAAGGGAATATTCACATGTGAAAAATACTTTCATTTACAAACCAAGTAAAAAAAAAATCAAGCATCTAAATAACAAAAAAGTAGCCAACTGCTGCTTCAAAAATTTGGAGGGAGGGGAGAGGTAAAGAAGGGAGGGGGCTGAGGAAAGAAAACCTTTCACATAGTATCGGATTACTTCTTCCTAGTCTAATAATCATCTTGCAAATGTAATCAATCAATATAGCTGATCTTTGTTTATCTATAACAATTCTGTGCTCCTGCAAATGCCCTGGATGCTTGACTCTCAACCATCAAGCTTTCCTGCTATGTTTGTCATCGCTATCGCTGTCACGTCTCCCACCCCCCACTTTTGAATTTGTCATGTTGACAGACTACAAAGGCTTTTGGCTGCCTTATTCTGTGATTCAAACCACACTGTATCTGCTTAAGCAGGCTTAATTCTTTATTTGTAATCTCCCAACCAGAAAATGCACCCCCCCTTATTTTCCCATCTAAAACTGTACACTAAACGTTAGAAGATAGCTATTGCAAATTGCTTTCACAGACATGCAAACCAGGACAGAAACAATAACTCAAATGCTAACTCTTGCATAATTAACAGAAAATGCCTGCACAGATTAACAATTAACTCTTTGAATGATCCAGGGCATATAATATCACACTTGCAAATTGTGAGAAACCACCCATAAAAGATATATTTGGTTTCTTTAATGATCTCATAAGCAAAGGATTTGAGTTTTATTCCTTAGGAAGACTTGAGTTTTTACCCAAGAGACCTACATTTTCCCAGAAATAAAATTAATTCCCAGACAATATTTTTGTAGTTGGGGGGGAACAAAAAAAAAAAAAATTATTTCCAAAAAAGCATACAATTTAAAAAGCTTGAATTCAGAATTTATATTTCTTTTTTGCATGCTAGCATAATGAGAAAAGTAATGACACAGGACTTAAACTGATGCATACAAATCATCCTTTAGAAACAGAAAAATCTTGGTTCAATTAAAAAAAAAATCCATGCGCATTTTCTGCAAAGACACTACAATTTATTTTTTATTTTGTGGTTAAACCAGAATCTGAATAAGCAATGGGATGCAACTCAAAATCATGCATCATTTTACTTTTAAAATCAGACTGACTGGAAAGTTGTAAAACCAGCATGCTTACAATAGGTAGGCAGTTCCTGACTGTAGCTTTGCTCCCTCCCAGAAGCAGTCCAAAGGAGTGATAATTAAACAAGGATAAAGATATTCTATGATCTGTCAAAGACAGAAACGGGAAAAAAAACACAGTTAGACAATAATATAATCTAAACAACACAAGCTGAATCATGAGATTATAAAATGTTTATAACCAAATGCCTGTTATGCCTACCTGGTCCATGTAACCTGCTTCTGTGATGAGTTCTCCTGATTTATAACATAAGTGTTCCAATTTCCATTGTCTGTAATAAATATAAAGAATGAGTATTTTTTTCTTTCACAGTTACTGAAAAGTTATTTTTAAAATGTAACATACATTAAAATTGCAACTCACATTGACATGGTGGCCTCAAGTAGTGAATCACTGAGAAAGACAAATTTTATTCAATGTAGGTATACCACAACCTCACAAAAAAAAAAAAAAAGAGAAGGCCTTTCTTTTTGTAGTTATAACTAGAAATATTTATTTAATTTATGCTAAACAGTCTCTGTCAAAGTCATTAAAAATACTGAAGCTACTTTTGGATTAATAGGCTAGTTGACACAAATAAAGGGACAGAAATGTGGCTTTGTATAAATGAGACCACTTGTGACTTAAGATAGCGCTCAGTGACACAAGAGAGACAATTCAGCTTCAGGCTCAAACTAGCTCTGACTCATGCATGTAGGAGAAAAGAAACCATTAGAATTTATGTTTTCCTTGTTCAGCTGTATTACAACTTCCACTGTAGTGACTTATAGCACCTTAGACAAGGCAGAAGCTGGGTAAAATATAATTGGAGTCTAGGTATTAGATCATTTAGGAATCAGTTAGATGTGCTGAAAGACAGCAGGCTTCATGCCTTGCAAATAGCATCCCCAGGCACATCATCATGTAAGTAATCACCCTGGAGGAACCACTTGTCATGGAGAGATCTCACTAGCCCAAAGCTGGTGCCTTGTTAAGGTGCACTTTTAGTATTTTTATTGTTGGACAACTCTTAACTCCTACTTTTTGGAAAACTCCCAAACCTCAATATGTACACACAGACATTCTGAAGGCCACCTCTACTATGATTTCATCTCTGTCATTAAATAACCCTGTAATTCCACCCACTGCCATTTCTCTTCCATTTGCATTTCCCCTTTAAACCTGAATTACTGGAAGGCTTTTCATTGTTAGGAAACCCATCAATAAAGTCCTATTTTTAAGAGCACAGTTATCACTCTTTTACCAAGAAAAATGCTGGACACTGTAGCACTGTTTATAAAGGTACATTTTCAGAATTTCATCCAACACCTCTTACACCATTTTATTTGTTAAAAAGTCAACTGGTCACTGCTATCATGCCACAATTTCAAGCATCAGTAATTAGCGACATTCAAATCAAAACATAGTTCTAAGGGAAAGGTTCTGAAGTGCTATCCATTAAAAATACGTGCAAGGAAACATCTGTCCACTTTTTACCTGTTACAGATGATCAAGAAAAGTTTTGCTTTTCTCCTTACCTGTTGTACATATAAACATCTACTCTGCTGGCCTGAAGTGCAGAGTCAAGGTGCTGTCTGAGTGCTTCTATTGTTAGTACATTAGCACCATCTTCCTGTGGAGTCTGAATCATGAGCTGGGGGTTAAACATGGCCTCTTCTCCAATCTTCTGCCGTGTGTAATTTAACTCCCGACTCACTCGTCCACCAACTGATGGATAAATATTAACAGCTTTGTATTAGCTAATGACAGCTTATTCTGGATTCACATGATGAGCACTCTCTGGTCAGAAAATCTTTACCATGTCCATGAAATATTCTACCTCTAATTGAATGCAGCGTAGCTCTGAATCTAATATAAAATTTATTTTAGTAACAGTGTAACAAAACCCATATTCCCCATTAAAAAAAATGCCATTGTCCCTACTGCATTAAAACACTGTTGTTCAAATTGGAGCTTCTTAAAAAATATGTTTTTTCTGTATTAGAACCAATATTCCATATGTAAAAAAAAAACCAACCAAACTTTTCCTTGCAGACCAGACCGAATACTCTTATGTTACAATTTCTTTCACTTGTATAAACAGTCTGCTACAATAGTACGTTTCAAGATAAATGGCTTCAATTTACACTCTTTAAATAATTTGGAAAAGAAGGGGGATGTTTTTCTCCAGTTAAAAAAAGGAAAAAGAGTAAGTGAGCATGAGTACTTCTTTCTGCCACATATAAATTGAAATTCACATAAAGAGGTGCAGTCCTGAGTGAAACAGAGTGTAGCAGAAAGGACCATCTACAAACAATTTGCCTTAGTGGTTCAGTACCTTCATAATATGGTGTGATGCAGGGGATAATTCATGCACAATATCTGTTTCTAAATCCACATGAGCTGAGCAGGTGCACTCCATGTCAAAACATAAATTAAAAATATAAGAAAAAGGCAGAAAGAGATTGCAAATGAGACAGGCTCTAGAGGAAGCCATATTCATATTGCCTTGTTAGAGAAAATTACATAACAATGGAAACTTATCTTTCCACTTACAAAAAAGCATTCAGCTAGAGTACATATACTTTATATAACCTCCCCTATAGTCTCTCTAGAAAATGCATGTGGGAGGGGGTTCAATTAAGTCAGCCCATTAGCTGAATAAAGACCACATCCAGATGAGGAGGACAAAAACACCACCAATATGGACCACTTGGGAAGAGTACAAGAATGCCGTCAGAGTATGCAGGGATGAAATGAGGAAAGCCAAGGCCACCTTGGAATTGAACATGGCAAGGGATGTCAAGGTCAACAGGAAGCGTTTCTTTAAGTACATAGGAGACAAAAGGAAAACTAGGGAAAATGTGGGCCCACTGTTGAATCAGGTGACAGATGATACAGAGGAGGCGGAGTTGCTGAATGCCTTCTTTGCTTCTGTCTTTACTGCTCAGGCCAGCCCTCGGGAGTCCCAGACTTTGCGGGTAACAGAGAAAGTCTGGAGGAAGGAAGACTTTCCCTTGGCTGAAGAGGAACAAGTTAAAGATCAGTTAGGTAAACTGGATATCCACAAGTCCATGGGGCCTGATGGGATGCACTCACAAGTGCTGAGGGAGCTGGCAAAAGTCATTGCTGGGCCGCTCTACATCATCTTTAAAAGGTCCTGGAGAACAGGTGAGGTGCCTGAGGACTGGAGGAAAGCCAATGTCACTCCAGTCTTCAAAAAGGGCAAGAAGGATGACCTGGGATACTACAGGCCGGTCAGCCTCACCTCCATCCCTGGAAAGGTGATGGAACAGCTTGTTCTGGGCGTCATCTCCAAGCATCTGGAGGAAAAGAAGGTTATCAGAAGTAGTCAACATGGATTCACCAAGGGGAAGTCATGTCTGACTAATCTGATAGCCTTTTATGATGAAGTGAGTGGATGGGTGGATGAGGGGAGGGCAGTGGATGTTGTCTACCTTGACTTCAGCAAGGCTTTCGACACCGTCTCCCACATCATCCTCACAGTCAAGCTTAGGAAGTGTGGGTTAGATGAATGGACAGTGAGGTGGATTGAGAACTGGCTGGCAGATAGAGCTCAGAGGGTTGTGGTTAGTGGTGCAGAGTCTAGTTGGAGGTCAGTTAGAAGTGGTGTCCCTCAGGGGTCAGTACTGGGTCCAGTCCTGTTCAACATATTCATTGATGACCTGGATGAAGGGATAGAGTGTACCATCAGCAAGTTTGCTGATGACACAAAACTGGGAGGGGTGGCTGACACACTGGATGGCTGTGCCACCATACAGCGAGACCTGGACAGGCTGGAGAGTTAGGCGGAAAGAAACCATATGAAATTCAACAAGGGCAAGTGTAGGGTCCTGCATCGGGGGAGGAATAACCCCATGCATCAGTACAGGTTGGGGGCTGACCTCCTGGA